CCCCGGGCCCAGGCGGATCGGTAGGTATCTCGCGCCGGTACTGCTGGAGCGCCGGGCGCGGGGGCCGGACGGGACCCGGGGAAGGGACTGCCAGGCCGGGCCGCGTCCGAGGGCAGAGACCTGGCCGCAGGGAAGGATTGACGGCTCTGCCCGTGTTGAATGTTTCTTGTTCCTCCTCCCCCCGTCCCCTCCAACAGGGTAGTTTCTGTCAGCTCTGTCAAGCGCCCGAATGGTACCCGGGGCGAGTGTTTCCACCTGAAGCCACGGGTGTCTCTGTCACTGTTCAGGCAGGTGTTTTGGAGGAACCTGTCTGTGCAGCATCAGTTGGCCTTGACAGTACAGTTATAACAAGTCTCTATTAAAGGAAGGCTAATACTTTCCCATTTTATCGGTGTAGTACTATAGAAACCCATAAATTGACCATCTGACTCCTTATTGGCCATATTATATTTGTAGCCTGAAAAGTAGCACTTGTGCCCTGTTCTGGGCTTGGAGAGGTATTTGATGCTGGCTTGATTCTAATCTCTTGGCAAGTCTTGATTGGATTGTAAAATTTCTACTTAATTTCTTTTCCTTCTCTGCTATCTCTTGATCGGCCCCAATGATCTTGGTATCTTAAAGTAATTATTTAAGGGCTAACTGGAGTGTCTGGTTATATTGGGGGCATCTGTGTTGTGGGGATAAATGGGAGAGACTTAGGATAACTTAACTTTGGGTTGGCAAACTTGAAATTTCTCTTTTACTTAATCAACTAGGATTTATTAAATCTGGTATGTGAAACAGACTGATATCTTAAGCTGACATGGATCAACTGTAAATGATACAGGCCATGGAAAATTTGAGGCTAACTTCTCACTACTTCCTCTTGGATTTCATGTAATATTTGATAAACTAATGATTAAAAAAAACAACAAAATATCCTCTGGTGGCACTGCAGAGCCACTGTAACAGCAGTGCATTTGTATTTTTGCTTCATCACGCATCAACAGCAAAACTGCCAGAACGGTTGTTGTGGTCCCACTGAATGGGGCAGCATTGAACACAAATGCTTAGCAGTCAGGAGAACTGGATTCAGTTTAGAGTCTTAACAGGATACCAGTGCTGAATCTGAGGTGCTGCTGTAGATCAGGGACACCCGTAGAACCTTGAGGTTCCCATTCCATAAGCAAAACTTTTGCTTTTAAATGTCATGTGAAAAAAAATACATATAACTGTTCCCAAAATAGCTCCCTTCTCATTAGAAGGCAGTGAATACATTTTAAAATCTGTATTTGGAGTTACCATTTACTTCTGTCATGTGAAGCCTGGGCTGGAGAAGTAGACTTCCTGGGAAGCAGATGGCTAACATAAATCTGGTATGCATCTGGAAGTTCAAGCCAATACACTGCTGCTGAGTGTCTACAGCTGCGGTGCACAGGGCTACAACCAGAGCTCTTCCTGGTAGTGGAACAACAGAAAACAGGCCAGTTCAGTCTTTGTAGCTCTCAGTGGGAGACCTGGGAGAGGTCAATGGGCAAGGGTTTTTGTCAGTGTAAGTAAAAACTGACAATCAGTCATCCACGGGGAATGAAGATGTGATGCTAGGAAGCCAGTGGAGTGGTAGAAACATGAATTCTGCTTTGCTTTCAGCACTTCGTATTTTGTAATAGACAAACAGGCTCCATTCCTGGTCGCTTAGGGAGAACAAGCAAGCTTGGAGGGAAGAATGCGACTTGCTTCTTTCTCTTGCAACACAGAATGAGGTGAAGCTTCATATGTTTCCAGACACATCTGAGCTGATCTGGGTGATCAGAATCCTGTGGCAGAATCTATGAAAAGCTTACAGGACAGAGTGATTGCAGAACACTATTCCTCCTGTGTTGCATGATCTTTAGATTGAATATTGTACTTCACACAAGGCCACAGTTCAAGTTTCTTTCCTGCTATGGAACTGTTTTCTCAAGTACAACATTGTAAAAGACTTCCTGGTAATGAGGCATAGTGAATAAAGGGCTTAAGAGGCACTCACGCTAATGTTGTGATTGGGTATGTAAATGGGGACAAGGAAGAGTATGTTATAATTTTTCATTCCTCTGAAGAAAGATTATTCTAAGGAAAGCTTTTTAGATGTGGCAGAAAGTAGCAGAACGCTTCTCTTGCATACTAGACTTAATAGTTTATCTTAACACTGAACTAGCTTTAGACTATTGTTCAAGGTTCTATTCTAGTCAGGGAAGCAAACACAGCTTGCATGTAGTCTTTCAATTGAGAACTTTTTAAAGCAATTTATAAACTTAAAATTTCCTGGGGTAGGTGAGCTGTTGATAGGAGATGCATCTGCTTTCTACCTCTTGTATTTTTATGTGATGAGCTAGAAAATTGCTGCATAGATGCTGTGGTTATTTTGTATATATGCACCTTAGTGTTTCAGAAGGTTGCAGCTTTGCATGTGAAAAGGGGGAGAAGAAACAAGACCTGCTACTTGACTTGCGATTGCCTGAGGAATATCTGCCATCCATGACCTACTGCTTGCTTTTATCATCTAAACTGTCTTCATCTTAAACCCAGTTGTATGTCATCTGAGTTGTTTCTTGAATCTTACTGTTAGATGCTTTATCATCTTCAGCTTTATAGAAAGAGTTTTCCTCCCTGCGTGACGCATCTGGGTGGCATTACTGTAGAGTGTTCCATGGTAACTGTTGCCTAAAGTTCTGTTTGAAGCTTCACTGTCTGTCTGGGTGATGTTTTCACTTCCTGCCTGCTATCTGAGTGGGTATAAGAGCTAAAATATCTTAAGTATGGTACAGCTTTTTTGTTACAGCCCAATGTAGTGTCTATAAACAAGAACCTCTTAATGCCTTTTCTTAAGACCTGTGAAGCTATGAACTCTGTATAATAAGCAACTTTATTAGGGGTTGTAAATGTCTTAACAGAGACTTCTGGGAAAAAAAATCTGTTAGCTCTTCCCCTAAGCATAGATGTTCTCTTGTCTTTCAGCAATTCCAGTCCGAAGCTCCAGGCTACCATTGTTGTCTGATGCCATGCCAGCACCAGCTCATCTGTTTCCACTGATTCGTAACTGTGAGATTAGCAGAATATGCAGTACTGTGTGTTACTGCCACCATAAACATCTGTGTTGTTTATCATCTCACTTTGCTCACAGTCACTTCAGACATGCACCTCAGAAGAAATTCGCGGCACTCTATAGGCCAAAGGAGAACTTTAATTACTTTATTCACGCAAGGGATTATGCTTCTACGCCACAGAGATTTTACCTCACGCCTCCACAGGTCAACAGCATTCTGAAGGCAAATGAATACAGTTTCAAAGTCCCAGAATTTGATGGTAAAAATGTAAGTTCTGTCCTTGGCTTTGATAGCAACCAGTTGCCTGCTAATGCTCCGATAGAAGACCGGAGGAGTGCTGCCACTTGCTTACAGACAAGAGGAATGCTTCTGGGTGTGTTTGATGGCCATGCAGGTTGTGCTTGTGCTCAAGCTGTCAGTGAAAGACTGTTTTACTACATTGCTGTCTCTTTGTTGCCTCATGAGACTTTACTTGAAATAGAAAATGCTGTGGAAAGTGGCAGAGCTCTGTTGCCCATTTTACAGTGGCACAAGCATCCCAATGATTATTTTAGCAAAGAGGCTTCCAAGCTTTACTTTAATAGTCTCAGAACTTACTGGCAGGAGCTAATTGATCTCAACAGTGGAGAGACTACTGATGTGAAAGAAGCTTTAATTAATGCTTTTAAGAGGCTTGACAATGATATTTCTTTGGAAGCTCAAGTAGGAGATCCAAATTCTTTTCTCAACTACCTAGTACTGCGAGTAGCGTTTTCTGGTGCAACCGCCTGTGTGGCCCATGTGGATGGTGTTGACTTGCACGTTGCAAACACAGGTGACAGTAGGGCAATGCTTGGGGTTCAGGAAGAAGATGGATCTTGGTCTGCAGTTAATCTGTCCTATGACCACAATGCACAAAATGAACGTGAAGTGGAACGTGTGAAAATGGAGCATCCAAAGTCTGAAGAGAAAAGCCTTGTGAAACAGGATCGTCTCTTAGGGCTCCTGATGCCTTTCAGAGCATTTGGTGATGTGAAGTTTAAATGGAGTATTGAACTACAGAAGAGAGTAGTAGAATCGGGCCCAGATCAGCTGAATGAGAATGAATATACAAAGTTTATTCCTCCAAACTATCACACTCCCCCATACCTCACAGCTGAACCAGAAGTCATACATCACAAATTACGGCCACAGGATAAATTCCTGGTTTTGGCCACAGATGGGCTGTGGGAAACGATGCACAGGCAAGATGTGGCTAGAATTGTAGGGGAGTACCTTACTGGTGTTCACCATCAACAGCCAATAGCTGTTGGTGGCTATAAGGTAACTTTGGGACAGATGCATGGTCTCTTAACAGAAAGGAGAGCAAGAATCTCTTCAGTATTTGAAGATCAGAACGCAGCGACTCACCTGATACGTCACGCGGTGGGTAACAATGAGTTTGGCACTGTGGATCATGAGCGACTGTCCAAGATGCTTAGTCTTCCAGAAGAGCTGGCTCGAATGTATAGAGATGACATTACAATTATTGTGGTGCAGTTCAACTCACATGTTATAGGTGCCTGTCAAAACGAGGAACTGTGAATGTTACGTAGTGAACTAGCTACCAAAGTTGTAACAGTGGCCAGTATGAGCAGCAAATAAAAACCAGCCACCCAATGATAAATCCCCCCCTCAACCCCCTCACTAACCAAATTGGTTGCTTGTGAGAGTCTGTGTATCTATTGTTCCTGCCTTCCCCTGGAGCTCTAAATACATGGGAAGTGCTATTGACCTAATACAAACTTGAAGAGGATGTCACAGCTTGGGAAAAGAGGGTTTTGTAATAACTTTGCACTATTGATTTCATGAATGCTGCTAGAACAATGTCTTGAATTTGGCAGACTTGGATGAGGGAGGGAAGGAGGATAAAGAATTAACTCTCAAAGATCTGGCTGTTCAAGAAACAAAGCCTGTTTATAAATATCTGTAAATATCTACACATTATCTTAAAAGATGAGTAAAAAGGAGTATTGTCGAATTCTTACAGGGCTAATTCTTGCAAAGTAGGTATGGTTATTTGCGAATATGTTGTCTACTGTTTCTTCTAAGCAGAAGGTCACTTTAACCAAGTAAGTCTTCAGTGTAACACAGTTGACTCGCTTTCATGCAGACAATGTCATTCACTTAAGGATATTTGTCTAAGTGTTGACTTTCAAAGCAGGCTTAAGCCATAATCAATACTTGAGATTCTGTTACAGCTTGGTCATATCTTATACATGGTAACTTCTAAACTTCCTGCGCATTAATAGATTCTTGGCTGGGGGTTTCTGCACAGCTTGTAGAGCAGTAATATGTTACAACATGCAGTAGGGTACCAGGTAACTTTGTGGAGGACTTCAGTTTGCGGTAGGAGGAAACTTTAAGACTTTTCAGAAAGTCACCGTTGTTGGTCAAGACTCTGTTGGTTTTCCTAAAGGTCATGTCCTTCATGGACTCCACCCTTGTCTGGTGTTACTTATCTGGTAAATAAACTTTCACCTGAAAAGATCAGGAAATCATTGCTAACCTCTTTGTGGCTTTGTAATTTGCACTCATTTTCACTTTAGCTATTTCAAATGGTCACATATTGGATGCCTTGCACTTGAACTTATATTTGTAAGTCAGGTCAAAAACTACAAATTACAAAAAAAATTGAAGTATGGCTTGTAAATAGTGTTTTAGTTGGGGAAACTAACCGGTGTGCATGTGTATGTTTAATGTATTTTCCTAGCAACTTCTTTATTAGCAGCTCTGTATTTCTGGACAGCTGGTGTATGCATGTTTCTACAGTCCAGGATGCTGTCACAGAGCAATCTCTGAAATGGGCCTTTCTGGCTTGTAATGGTTGAATTTGAACTTCAAAGATTGGCTCTAACTTGTGTGCCTAAAGTTGTTGGACTTGTAACTGTAAAAAGTAGGGACTGACAACTAATTTATTGGTCCTCATTGCATCTGTTTTAGGTATGTTGCATTGTATACAGATTTATTTTAACTTGCCCTTGGGTCAGAAACAAATGCTGGCTGAAATGCCAGCCCTTGATGACTGAGATCGCACATGTAACTTGATTCCTGTCTTCTAGAGAACAATACTAGGTCAGCTTGTTTCCTTCACTGAGGTGTTTCAGTTAAAATGCCTCCCTAGCCTTCATCATAGCTAATTAAATCAACACTTTAAAAACCTAGTGTGTTTTGGTTGAGTAATGTGGCATTTTCTACTAAATATGAATATTGCCAATTAATGCTGTTGTTACATAGGGTACACTTGGTTTGAACAACGAACCTGTGCTATAGTAAACATTGGCTCCTAAACTCACAAATGCTATGTGTACTTAGTGGCCTGCGGCTTTAATATGTCTGTTTCTTTATCCAACCTTAAATATCAGGATCAGGATTGCTGTAAGGCTAATGATACCTGAGTCCATGTGCAAGATGCGCACAACCCTTCCTTATTTGAAGGGAAAAGGGGAATTCTGAAATGCTTAGACAAGTACTGGCTGTTGACATTGCTTCTGTATGTTGTGTTCTGGTGACTGCGTCATTAGCTAGGTCAATAGACTTTATGTTCTGTTGTTCAAATGCAGTATGTATCTAAGCTGTTGCAGTATTTAACTTTCTTAGTTTTTTTACAGTTAAAGCTCTGTTACATGTATTGATATATTTAACCTATGATTATTGAGATGGATTTGGTACAAGTCATAGCTAGAAGAAATGAACATTAGTCCCATGGATACAACTTTTATTGAGGAAAAGCTGCTTTTTGTAGTAAAGATGTATATGTATGGGGTCAGACGAAATAATATTTATGTATTGCTTGGAGACTTGCTCAGTATGTATGTGGTGAACAGAAGCAGCAATACTGCCTGCCGAACAGGTGGTCTGAACAAACATCTTTTAATAGATTCCAATAAAATGATCAATTATGCAGAAGTCCATGTGTATTGGATTGATAAAGAATGTGACACTATTCTGTTAGCACTGAAGCTTATGAATTACTTATATTTCAAGAATGTGTTCTGTTGTGTAGTCCCTGTTAGGAATAGACCAGATAGCCAAGCAGAGTATAAATGGAAACAGACTGAGAACTGCACTTCAGAGCTCTTAAATGCCACTGTGAGGCTTGAACCCCTGCATCAGGCATGCTGGTGCCGCTGCTCCCAGGCAGCAAAGCTCAAATCTTGCCATTGCTCTGTGTCTCAGTTCCCATCACCTCATGATTACCTTCAGGGGCACTGTTGTGGAAAAAGCAGCATAATTTGAGATCATTAAGTTGGGGACTGTACCCTATATATAGCAATACAACATTTCATAAATGATCTAAAATACTTATGTGCAGACTAAAGTGGCATGAGAATAAACTGAACAGAAATGGCTCTTCTGCCACAGGCGGCAGAGGACATGTTATGTTTGTGCTGTCTCCCAAACTTGCGTTGCAAAGGGTACACCTACTTTGTATGTAAGGAGGATGCTGCGATTACCTTTCCAAATAAGAATTTCGCAGCTGCAAGTATGTGGCTCAACCCAGCAAGATGTCTGAATCTTGACAGTCACCACAAGCTTTCACATTCACTTTTAAATCTTAAATCTTTAAAACCATTCTAGATGAACGTGTCAACAGAACTGTTTAATACTGGGTAAGAGAGGGGTGGGAGATCTTAGTCCATGCTTCCAACTTCAGGCTCTGTTAACTCTGTTCCCTTGTGTTCAAAATGGTATGTGCGTTCTATTTGCTTTTGACAGTATTTTACAACTACTGTTGTGGTAACTTCTGTATTCTTCGTTTGCCTTTTGTGTGCATGACTCAGTGAGTACGGAATTTACTATTTTCCCTTTCCACCAATTTCCTCATTGTAGGGCGGAGATTTGCATATAGCAAACTCATAAAACATGACACAGCAAGGAGCGTAGGTAGTCTCATCATGAAGTGTTTGTAATTGGACTCTTAAACACGGGTCCCTGTACTTGGAACAATTCCGGAGTGAGAGGGTGCCTGGTAACTTGTTTCTGATAAGTGCTTTGCAGAGTGGTGAGGCTGCTCTGCTCACCCTTGGTGGGGAGGCATATTTGTAATGAGATCGCCTGGCATAGATGGATAGTTCAGGTTTCTGGTTCTAACAACCTGCAGTGTCCGAAGCTCCCTGATGCAGAGTCTCCATCTGGTTTCATGACTCTAATAAATATCTGCCACCTGATTTGCACCGGTGACCGTTGTGACCATGGATTGCTGAACACTGTTATTGATGCTGCCGCGCAGCAGCCCAAGAACAGCGCTAGCCCAAGGCATTTCGGGATGCCAAGGGAGTTGGCATCTTTGAGTTGATATGTTTGATGCTATGTAAGAAACTTGTGCAGCTCCCGGTTGTTGTTCAGTAATGTGTAAATGGAAATGAAATCTGTGGTGTTGGAAGATCTGGCCAAAATGCCTTGTCTTTAATTTTGTGAAGCTTAGAATGAAGCAGATCCTATGGGGAGGAGGAGTAGCAGCTTGCTTCCAGCCTGCCAAATGGCACACTGCAGCTTGATGTCATCTTGCTGTATGTACAATTAAGAAGTTAAACTTAACAAAATGAGAAAGTCCAAAGTGTTTGTCTCCAGGGATGGTCATTGATATCCAGCTGAGAGGTGCTTCAAGTGTGGTAGCCTTCCCCAAGCACTGTTTTGGCTGTTGCTTTATTCTGTTGTGTTCAGGAGAAGAGGGGGCTGAGGGGAGACCTTACTGCCCTCTACAGCTGCCTGACAGGAGGCTGTAGCGAGGTGGAGGTCGGTCTCTACTCCATGGTAATGGGCAATAGGATGAGGGGAAATGGTCTGAAGTTGCACCAGGGCAGGTTTAGGTTGGACATTAGGAAAAATTTCTTCACTGAAAGGGTTGTCAAGCATTGGAATGGGCTGCCCAGGGAAGTGGTTGAGTCCCCGTCCCTGGAGGTGTTTAAAAGCCAGGTAGATGAGATGCTTAGGGACATGGTTTAGTGGTGGGATGGTAGTGTTAGGTTAACAGTTGGACTTGATGATCTCAAAGGTCTTTTCCAAAATCAAAGAAAAAAAAAGTTCAGGAGATACTTTGTTGTGGTGTATTTGGTCCTGTGTTAAATTTTAAATGGAGTGGGCATTAGAATGAATGCATTCATGGTTTCTCATGCTAGTTTAACTGGTTTGTACTTTTTTCCCTATTTTTATTTGAAAGCCCTCCTTTGCCAAGTGCCTCCAGTTTCAGGATCGTCCCCCCTTCGTGTTTTGCTTTTTATTCAACAGTGAATTCAGGATGTATTAATGTCTTCCCTAGCACTGAAGTATTTGTGCAGGAAAAAGGCTTGCTAATGTCTTCTGGATTAAATGACTTATTCAACAGCTACAGCATATTTAATTGCTGTGCAAACAAGTAGATATTGTCCCTTTGTTATGGGCACGTTGTTAAACACAATCTATGCAAACTCATTGGTAGACTGTTTTTCAGTTTAGTGTTAACCTGATTCACCAAATCTTGATTAGGGAGTTATTTCTTGTAGTTTAGTCCTTTAAAATGTGGTGTTAATTAGCCTGTAATTTAAAGCTAAACATAGAAATGTTCAATCATCAAATACCTGTGCAGTGGAAGAAACACATAGGTTGACTTTACTTTTCTCCTGTTGCAGTGAGCTAGGTATTGAACATTATTAATGACTGATTTTTTTTTTTCTTTTTAACTGCTGTCTTATAAAAGCCAAAACTTGGAACTAGTTCCTGGGTTGCTCTTACCATTGGAAGTAGGTTCTAAGGGGAGGGGAAAATAAAAATAGACCAAATCTTGTAATTAATCTTTTAAATGGGCAAACCAATTTGAATTTTGGTCCTTCTGTTTGGCATCCCATCTGTGTGAGTGCTGACGCACAGCCCATGTCAGTTGTACCTCGTGTGTTGTTTCAGTGGAAGAAACTTAAATACAAGAACAGCACTTAAAAGCCCACTTAACAGGTTTCAGTAGTAATAAGTTGCCCACCCCACTGATGCGGTGATAAGTCCAGGGTGGTCTTTGCAGTGCAGTAGATAAGACTGCTCTTGGCTTACTGCGCTGGTCATGCCTTCTGTTCTATTTGCTGCTCGTATATATTTTAATAATAAATTGCTGGGTAGTGGGAAAGGATAACCTGACTTTCATAATTGGATCACAAATGGAGCTTAAGTGGGGAGCAGGAGCATTGCGTGGTGAAAACAAAAGCAATCTGGGATCGATAAATGATCTGTTCTCACCTGTGCTGCGAGGTCTGAGGGTAAAAAAAAAAAAAAACCCAAACAACTTGTGTTCATCAGTGTGCAAGTCTTCTGAAACTGCATTATTCCAAATGACTCACCTAATCAGGCATGAAGCTTTCCAGGATTATATAAAATAAAAGAAAATACAGGCACTGTTCAGTATATCATGATAGTCAGGCACTTCGCTTGTAATAATTAACAGGAAATGAGATTTTTTTTTTTAGGGGGGGACCTTCACAAATAAAAGGAGTAGACTAAAAAGCTACTCTCCTCAAAAAATCGGGACCACGCAGTACAAATGTGTAGGGTGGCCCTAGACTTCTGATTATTTGGGGATGGTTCTCCCTATATTCTTTCATCTCCTGGGTTGAGGGGGAAAAAAAGGGGTGAAAAAACCAACCAAGTGTGTATCTTTTCCTATGGTTCTTAGTCTGAATAGGTAAGTAATCAGCCTTGGAGATTGCAGGGGGCATTTTATATGGCAGGCTGTTTGCTGTCATTGTGGTGGATCTTTCTTTGAGCAGAAAAAGTATCCTTGATTTATAGACTTTCTATTAGATTTCCTAGCTAGGAAATCCTATTTAATAAAACTTACCATGACAAACTTTTTTATATAGCATTGTGAACAAACAGTTCAGTTTTAATATGCTGTGTCTGTACTTGAGGGTAGCATTTGATGTATTGCCTCACATCTTAATTGCAAAATTAATCTGGTTAGGTCTGTCTGTCATGTCACATGATGCTGAAAGACAGGAAAAAGGCCTAATGAAAAACAGGGAAATTATTGATGTTAACAGGAAAGCGTCCCATGAGCTGACACACAACCCTGCATTAAGCCCAGTTTCATTCAAAAGCTCTGTCTCTTAATGAAATGAATCGGCTCCCTAGGACTTTTGTTGTTGCCAGAGTCGTTGCAAGCCTGTCACCGTTAATTCTGTAGGTCTTCTCTGTTGCCCATCCCTGGTACTTCTTTGCCCACTGTG